TTGCCGAGCCCCTGGGCACGGTGTATTGGGGGGAGCTCTGCACTCCTGGAAGGGGCGGGGCTTCAGGCAGAAGGGATAGGGAAGTTTCCCACTTTCCCTTTCCAATAGGCCTTTCTGGGAGAAAATAAATGAGTCAGAGGATTGGGGCTGGGGCACTCAACCTTTAGCCTCCCACGGACATGGAACAGGTAGAAAATGACCAAAAATCACTGCCCTCAGATGGCGGGGCGCTGGGCTCTGTGCAGTAAGCTGGTGGCCACAGGGTCGTTTAAATGGAACAGTATCCATGGCCCAGCCCACCCTGGCTGACATGCTCAGGGAAGAAGCGAATGACTGCTTGGGTGGTGGAGCCTGAGCTACTCTCATATCCTAGTAAAGGTCTCTGGGTCTGCTTTATAATCCATTAGCAGGGCACCGCGGGGGCACCACAGCCAGCCATCTTGTACCTTGTTCAGTATCTAAGCAGAAGACGTGGCTCTCTGGGAGTTTGCTCAGTGCCTCCTTTATTTGTTTAAAGCAGCAGTTGAAAACCAGCACCTGATGCCCTGAGCCGTGCCCCAGCTAAGGGAGGGCTGCGACAAGTGGTTGTTAAATCAGAACCTTTGTGCCGAAGGTGGGAATGCAGGAGCAGGGAGGAGAAAAAGAGAACACCTGAGATGGGGTGGACTGGCCGCTAAACAAAGATCCTGTTTAGCCTAAATCCATACACTGAATACACAAAGGCATCACATGCCTATCTCCCTTTATTGGTGCATTAGCTTAAGCATCCAGAAAACCAAGCACCTCACCAATGTTGTTACTGAGCCCTCACGCGCCTCAGCTGCTGCCCAGTGTTTTGTTTGTCTTAAGGACCAGATCCAAAGCCCACTGAAGTCACTGGAAGGGCTCCCATTGATTTCTGTGGGCTTTGCATCTGGCTCTAAGCTGTGTGGAGAGGGACCTTTTCTTTTTTGGTCAGTAACATGCTGGGCACCGTTACGACTCTTAAATAACAGCGACAATCACTTTTACTGCTCTAACTAATTCATCAGACCCAAACTTTCTTTTCTACATCCATAGATAAAGAAATGGGGAAAAGTTGTATGTCCCATGTGCCAGAGGAGATACCAGCTCTTCCATCCTTCCCAGAGGATTTCTCCTGGCCAGATGGCAGATTTTATGGATTACAGATGGAAATGCCAGCTGTTCTGGGCAGGGCTGGTAAACTTCCTCACTGGCAGTGGAAACTGTACTTTTCTAAACCACAGTATTTAATTTATTGTATGTAAGAGACTCTCCCTTCTCGGGCAGGAAAAGGAGAAAGCCAATCCCCCCCTTTCCAGAGCCCTCCTCCCGGAGGATGAAATAAGAAAACGATGACAATAATACTTAGCTTTTAGACTCCCAAATGGAAGATTCTCTAGAAAAGCATTTTCTGAACATCAGTGAATGGACTCTCACAACTTGTGAGTGAGAGAATGTACCCCTATTGTACGGACATTAAAACTAAATACCTTCAAGGTAGGCACGTAGGACCATGCTAAAGTTAGGGATGTGAACGGGTAACTGATTAACCAGTTGCCTGGGAAGCATCACCCTTACTAGGTGATGCTTACCAGCTAATGGTTAACCAGTTCCCCAGGAGCAGCTTGCCACCCATGGCCTGCCAAAGGTGGACGGCTGTTCCAGCCCCACTGGGTTCCCACAGTGGGGTCTGATTTTCAGAGGGAAGCTGCTCTGAAGATCATGCTTCTTTGCAGTCTCTCAGGCCCATGCAGCCAAAAATCACTGGTGGCTTTTGAAAATTTAGGCGTCTAGCTCTACGGTCTGGCAGCCAAGTTATTAAGTTATTGCAGAGTCACACAGCAAGACAATGGAAGAGCCAAGCTCACAGAATCCTTTGGCCTGGTGTCCAATGGAAACGGGTTGTTTGGCACCTCTGCAAATGAGATCTAGTGCCTCCTGACTAATGTTCCCTCTAATCTTTTCTATCTGTGTGGGGAATAAATTTTATGTGGACCAAAGTATGTGCAAATGTGCACCACCAGGAGAAACAAAAAATTAACTGTAGTTGCTCTGCTAATCAGCGAGGCAGCATTTAAATCTCTCCTGAGCGGCTGCACGAGTGTTCAGCTTATAGGGAACACTGCTCTTGACTCACACTTGCGTACCCCATTCACAAGACTATGAAAAAAGCCTTGAGTCCTTTGATCTGCTTAAAAAAAACTTTAAACATGTTTTGTTTTCCCCATTCCTCCCCCAACAGGCCCTGGTATGGCTAGTCCAGGTGACTGGCCACTTCAACCAATCAGAAAACTACTGACTCCATCCAACTCCACCCATAAGCTTCTACCATCTGTCAAGAGACATTTCTGATGTATCTGATCACCTCCAGCCTCCTCACAATCTTCACCTATCTGCTGACTGCAGGATGGAATCCAACTTTTCAGTCTTTTCCGGCATCTATATATTTTAAGAGGCCTTTTTAAAAACTAAACTATGCATGACAATGCTAAGACAAGCTATCCTAGATCCTGCCAGTAAAGCACAGTCATCATCCCAGGGACAACCTAAACCCAAGTCCCCAATCATCCAGTTTGTGTCCATTCTTCTCCTTCCAGTGGGATACAAGTGAATAGAGAGCCATAAGGGTTCCTCCTTCCCCCAGTGCCTGACTGTTCCTGTAGGGAAGTCATCCCATCCCATCTCATGCAGACAGAATATTCCTATCTGAGGTGATCCCTGCACAGCAGGGCAGAGGACCAGAGATAAAGCCACACCAGGGTTCAGTGGACATGGAGAGTGTGTTTCTCTTTCAGTCCAGCAGGAGGTGATCTCTCTAGGTCAGGCCTGAGGTTTGCTAGTGTTGGGGAATGCAACGCTGAGATAGCTTGGCAATTAGATTCTTGTCTCGCCCCACAGGAAAGCATTCTCACAAAGCACCTACACATGCAAGGGGAGAGGTTTGCAGACACCGTATCAGCCTCCCTCTGGGGAGCGATCTTGCTCTTCAGTCCTCCTCTTCCTCTCCCTGCCCCTAACCCAGAAAGGCTAGCAGGAGAACAGGATGACTGTGGTTTATCGTCATGGATTTTACAATACCACCGTTTCAACTTAACTGCATTTTTTATCCTAAAGATTTATATAAATATATATAGATATATATATTTATTCCTCTGTAACTGAGTGTAAATGACTCTTAGGAGGATGAAAACTCCTCTGACTCTTATATAGAAAACAAATTGTATATTTTCTTATGTACATCTTCTGTATAAAGCTCTCACTGCAAAGATGAACTCGGCAGGTTTCCATGTGTCTGCCCAAGAACTGGTAACTCATGCTGCAAACTGGGTGCGAGTCCAGCTAGATAGATCAATCCAGGCCTAGTCCTCCCTTATCCTCCCTGCAGGTTTAGAACAAAGTCCTGTTGGAGAAGAGGATTTTATTATTCACCCTTCTACTGTGCAGCAAAAGGTGACACTTGTGAGCCCAGCATCGGCCACCTCGTAATATAGGTGGGGAATAGCTTGTGGAGCCAAATGCAGGCCCTAATGTAACTGGCTGCCACTCCGCTGAAGTTCATAGGGCTATGCCACAACAGAGTTTGGCTCCTGGTATTTTAAACTCAGCCCTCACAGCTTCCCACAAGAAGCAAAGTCATAGGTCTCCCTTAAGACTTCGCCCCATTGCAGAGCAACTGCCCCACACTCCCTTTGTGCTGCTCCATTCCAAAGCACACTGCAGGGCCTACAAACTCTTGGTCCTGGCACGCCCTGAAGCTGCCAGCAATAAGGGCAGAAATCGGACTCCTAGTCCGGTGCAGTTAACCCATCACATTTGTTTCCTCAACCTTCATAGGCAGCCTCTTACTTTCATTAAAGCAAAACAACTGGGATGCGCATGCTCGCTCGCCTTTAAGTGCCCCCAGATCTGTACTGCGAAAAGATAACAGGGTGGGATCAAGGACTCACGATACAGAAAGAGCCAGCGCTCCACTAGCTAAATGCGCTGCAAAATGTATCTGCTAAATGCTCATCACAGCATGCTCGATGGGCCCACAACACCCTATTGCTCATGCCCAGGAATGAGGGTACACAAACATGCCCCAGTGACAAAGTGCGAGTCCTGCTCAGGCACCGTTGGAGGCGGGGGGTGAATACACAAGAGGGGCTGCAGTATGAGTTGCACTGGGTCTGGCCATCTGCAGGATCAGGTTCAGGGCACGTGTGTGAATCATGCAGGACACCAAACATATGCGTGCCATCCATGCTGGTGAAGAGAATCGGCTGATTCAACAGCAAACCATACACCAATCTGAGTCAGCCAGGTGCCCATCTCAGTGTTAATCCTCAAGGCCTGAGGGACAGCAGGTACAATAGAGAAAAGGGAACGGTTTGCTGTAACCAGGAAATAAACAGAGAGATGCCCCAGCCTGGGGTACCACGGAAGGCTGTCATGCGAATGCAAAGCTCTCTCTTCTCAGAGTAGCTGTCCTTGTAATTTCCTGTGTCCCTCCTGTGATCCGCTCTGATCTCCAGGCAGTTACTCTACTCCGTACTAGCGATGGAAAATCCCATTTAATCAGTTAACCAGTTAACTGTTAGGTTAACCTAACATTCAACTGGTTAACTAACTAAGCAGGATTCCAGGAAGGGGACCACTCCAGCCCAGCTGGAGCAGCCTCCAGATTGAGGGGCTCCTGCTCCCCCCTGCCCGAGGCTGCAGGCTCCTGGCCCTGCACAGGGGCTTGTCAGGGCTGCTTCTGGGCAGCAGTTAACCATTACCCAGTAAGTATCACTAGGTCATGCTTACTGGGTAACTAGTTACCTGCTCACATCCCTGCTCTGTACCTTCTTGAAAGACTGGAAGGCACATGAGGTCGCTGCAGCCCATCACACATGGACAGAGTCATTCAGAGAGCCTGCAGTTGCATCACCCTGTACACAAGTCACACATGCTCAGATTCCTTGGTCCCACTGGGTAGGCAAGCACCCCAGGCCCAAGCATGGAGAGTGACTCACCACCATTTCCTGCATTTTCATCTTGAGCATAATCTTCTTCATAATCTCAGGGGGAACAGGGGACCCTGCAATGACCCCTGAAAGAGAGAAGGCAAGAGAACTGCATTGGAGACTCTCTTTCCCCAGGAAATCCCACCAAAAGGGTCATCGGTACAGTTAGATCGAAAGGCTGACAAGGCCCGTGGTGCGCAGTAGGTCCTGTCTACATGCTTCACCATTTCCATGGCTTCTGTTACTAATTATTCTAGATGTAGAGCTCCAGCATGACAACAATAGCTGCACATTCTCCTGCCTGCGTGGGAGGTTTGGCCTTGTTTGCTTGTTAAGAGAGTTAATTCTCCAAATTCTCTCCAGGCTGAAGCCTGGCAAAAAAATTAATCAGTGGCCTATAATATCAGGACTGGCATGAAGAATGTAAACGAGGAAAAGTTACAGGTTGCACCTCTCTAAACGGACTCTCATGTCTGGCAACCTCCGGACCATGGATGTTCCAGGACCAGCATGTCCCAGTAGAGGGCTGGCTGCTGGGAGCCCTGAGGACTGGCAGGGCAGTAGGCTGCCAGCAGAGGGGCTGCCCTGTGGAGACAGGAGTCCAGCGCAGATTTCCTGTGGGATCAGGAGCTCAGCATGAGCAGCATGGCTTCCTGGTGGGGCCAGGAAGCCTGGTGGGGCTGGCAGGTAGGGGAGGTGGCAGGGGTAAGGAGCTAGCTGGGAGGCTGGCAGCTGGGCCAGGCCAGGGCTATGGAGGGAAGGTGGCGGGGGTGGGAGTCAGAAATGACTTCCTCTAGTCCAGCAAAATCCCTCATCCAGGACTGGTTAAGACCCAAGGGTGCTGGACCAGGGAGGTCCAACATTCATTTACTTGTTCCCATAACACAAAAAACAGGGGTTACCAAATGAAATTAATAGGCAGGAGGTTTAAAACAAAGGAAAATATTTCTTCACACGATGCATATTCAGCCTGTGGAACTCCTTGCTAGAGGATGTTGTGAGGGACAGGACTTTAGCAGGGTTCGATAAAGAGCTAGATAAATCCATGGAGGATAGGTCCATCAATGGCTATTAGCCATGATGGGCAGGGATGGTATCCCTAGTCTGTTTGTCAGAAGCTGGGAATGGGTGACAGGAGAGGGATCACGTGGTGATTCTCTCTTCTGTTCATTCCCTCTGGGGCACCTGGTATTGGCCACTAACAGATGACAGGACACTGGGCTGGAAGGGCCTTTGTTCTGACCCAGTACAGCCATTCTTATGTTCTTGTTTACCTAAGGAACAAAGACACCAGTGCACCAGGGTTAGCATTTCCATGCGACCCCGCACCTGTCAATGTGTCTCCATCCTGACCTGGAGGAACCACCTCTATGGAGGCAGAGGCTAGGTCAGTAGAACCTGTTTCTATAGTGGGAGAGTAAAGGCTAGACCACAACCTTCATTACAGACCCACACTGCACAAGATGAGACAAAGTCAATTTTCTGAGGAAGGACCAGGCCTCTTCCTCAGATAACAAGGGAGTTTCAGCCCACGGTCCCAGGGAGTTTCAGCTGCTCTACCCACGTTCTTCTAATTCACCCATCACTGTATTCTCTGAGTTTAACAAATGCTACATGACTCTTTGATGCTTTGGGAGAGGCAGGAAAGCTCCAATACTAATGACCTGCACATTAGCTACCTGAAAACATGGGGAATAAGTAATTCCAAACAAACAAGACAAATTACATGTAGGAAATTCACTACCCATTGCAGCATTGCCTGTTGTCACCCTGGGGAATGTACAAAGAGAGTAAGTACACCAGGTGTTTGCTGCCACTTGTTGGTGGATGGAGGTATGGAAGTCCATCAAGTACAATTCTTTCCGCATCCCTATCCCTTCTCTATTTCCATCAGAGACAACAGCGGGGTAACTCCCCCTAAAGCTTCAAGTCAGCAGGCCATTGCACCAGAGAGGGGAAGGGTACTAAAAGTATGAAAATCACGAACTACAGATTATCAAGACGATGGAAAGAGCATGCAACACATGTCTTTCCTGCTCACTAGTGACTTGCTTGCACAGCCTCACCCAGTCTGCCTGTCCAGCTGGCTTCCCCCAGGAGAACCAGCAGAAGCCAGTAACCCTGTGTTCTGCAGTACTTACCTCCCCGGAGAGACGAGAGGTCATAGCTGTCAAAGTCAGGCTGGGCGAGCATGTCTATGAACATGGTTGGAGTGCCGAGTAAAAGTGAGCATCTTCAGGGGCCGGGAGAGAAGAAACAAAGATCCTAATTAGAGCCGGCTGAAGTAAGGACTATGCACCCTGCTCCCCACTGCTCCTGGATCAGGCCTTTGAGCCAGCAGGACCGGCCTGGGAATAATGGATTTATTAAACAGCGGCACCTGTGCTTTACAGATGCCCGGACAGGACCATGGCAATGTAGCCATTGCTGGGGTGGAGGGAGAAGGGGATTATGTGCAGACACACACCTGTCACTAACCCAAACAAGGAGAGGCCGGGCCTTGCAGCCAAGAGCCAGCAGGGACCAGGGTACCTTGGGGTGGGCAGTGAGGCATTTCAGTGAGCATGGCGGGGGCAAGACTCAGACAAATGAGAGGCTATGCCTCTACTGCTGTGGGGAGGCCAGAAGCCGGGGGCTGGAGCCGGTGGCCAGCAAAGTTGAGGCAAATAACCCCTCCCACACCAGGTGACAGTAAAGGCCCCTGATTCTCACTTTTCTTGAGCCACTGACTCCAGCGCAGCTTTCCCCTCGAAGCTCGAGGAGGAGAAGACAGCAGAGGTGCCATGCAGAGCCATCACCATACAGCCTCCAACCGAGCCCAGGCAGTGGTAGAGGGGCACAGGGAGGGCAGAACGGGACTCCTAGAATCAAGCCAAACAAAGACAGCAGGGAGGATATAGACCATCTGGTCGATGTCTGAGCCATTCTGATGCCTGGAGCACATGGGCCTCGGCACAGGGTTGTCCCTGCGCCACTTACATCCACAGAAGGTGCGAATATGGGGTACGGGAGCTGGAGAAGGAATATGGGGTACGGGAGAAGGAGGAAGGAACAGCCTGAATTGTCATTGGATCTCAATCCAGACTTGTGGGATTGCCCTCTGCTGGCACCATGCAGCATGGCACTTCTCCTTAGGGCTCCTCACTAGCAGTGGGCGCTCCTTGCCCATCTTCCCTCTAATCCAGTGTTTCCCAATTTTATTTGGCCACGGAACCCTTTTAAACTCGAAAGAATTTTGCAGAACCCCCAATAACAGTCTTATATATGGAACTGAAAAAGTAGACCACAAATAAGTAAGGATAATAATAAACAAATGCTAAACAAGGTCATGAAATCAACATTTAGTTTAATTGTACATATTTTTAAAAAATCACATAATATGAATTTTTTTTAAAAAAATCATAAAATGTGATTGCAATGGAATTTTCTCGTGGAACCCTTATTTTCACTTTGTGGAACCCCGGGGTTCCGTAGAACACCCTTTGGAAAACACTGCTCTAATCTTTTCCATCCATGTGCAGAATAATTTTATGTGTACTGAGGAATGTGTGGATGTGCACCACCATCAGAAACAAAACATTGCTGTGGGCACTCTGCTAATCAGCTGGGCGGCATCTGAATTTCTCCTCAGCAGTCACACATCTTACAGAGAACACTGGCCTTCACCCTCAACTTGGAGGGGTTCACTATGTCTTGCTGGGGAATCACCCGCCTGCTCCACATGCTCAGTCCCACTATGGCCAGAACGCAGCCCATCCCCGGCCAAAGGAGGAGACTCACCCGCTGATCGAGTCTCATCCTCAACCCAATCAGATTGGCATTATTCACCACGTTTCTATGAGAGAGAGTGGCCCCTTTGGGACTCCCAGTCGTGCCCTGAAAGACAAAGAGCATTTTGAGATCCTCTGATGTGACCGTCCTTTCAGAGGGGGAGGTGCACAGATTCGCACTGCTGATCCCTCCCCTGCCTACTCCACAGATTTCTGTTTTGGTCTTATCCTGTATTTCCCCCTCCAGACAAAGTAGCCTCTGATCCGACAGCACCACAAATGGTATGAGCCAGCCCAACTGTAGCTGGGGTCGGAGCTCAAAGGCACACAGCCCACACCTCGCAGTCACAAGAATGGAGGAGAAAGGGGAAAATCCAGGATGACTTCCTAGATCCTATTTGGAAAGGGCGAGGGACGATGGAACAGTATTCGAGTGACCAAGTGTCAGAGGGGGCAGCCTGCTTAGCCAGTGCATTGGGGTCTCTGCAGGGCAGAGCAGCGTGCGGTACCTACGGAAGTGAACTGGATGTTGATGGGCTCGTCACAGGACAGAGTCCGCTGGACTTCTCGTAACTGCTTCATATGGCTGCTGTCCCCAGCCTGCAGCACCTCGCTCATCTGGAACGTGCCAGGCAGCTTGGAGTCCAAGGTGATTACAATTGATAGGTCTGGCAGCCTGAGACAAAGACAAATGCAGTCAGGAACACAGAGTCAGGAGGAAAGACTGACTTGGTGCTTGTGTGCTGCTCGGGGTTAACTCCTGGAAGGACTCTTCTTTGGAAGGCAGGTTACATGGGAGGAGCTGTGGTAATACAGGGCACATGGACACAGCCCAGCTTGGTCTGGGTGAAGTCTTCTCTGCTGACTGGGGAAGGATAATAGCTGATTCCTAACTGGGGCAGAGAGCAGGTCCTAGATGTTCTGAGCCAGTGATCCTGGAGTCATATACCATGGTGAGGAGTAGAATAGGGTATAAAAGCCTAGAGACAGGGATATTTGTGGGGAACCTTCTTTCCTCTGGGATTATCCTCCAGGTTCAGAAGTAGGTTCTTCACCCTGAAAGTGTGAGGCTTCGGTGCAGGACACAGTCCTGGGGGACAGCAAGAGGCTCTCTGGTGTTTCTTACTCACCTTTTGCTCTTTATTCCCCCTGGACTGGATTTCTCTAGCTCAGGACAAACTTGCTTCAGGATCTCATAATATCTCTGTGTTTTAAACTGAGTGGGGAACACCAGGGCCTTACAGCCAACCTGCATGGGGAGAGAGGAAAGTCAGGCTGGGGTAACACTCACCGCCCAGGGAGTAAGGAACAGTCCCTGGAAATCCAACAGCGTGGCACTTGCACTCACTGCTGATGGCAAACTGCACAGCCCCGAGAAACCAAAAGGCAGGAGTTAAACCTTAACATTACATTGGAGGGGGGCCTATTCCCAGGACTTGTTCAGTTATGAGTACGTTACAAAGACCCAGCTTTCAAACCACATTAGCTCCATCCTACAAGGAACCATCCTTTAAGACAAGGGTGGGCAAAAGGGCCTCTGCAGGTCGGATCTGGCCCACCAAGCGGATGGATCCGGCCTATGAAGGCCCTGCTGCTCCCCCACCTCCAGGGCAATTAGGGCCTGGAGGTGGGGGAACGCCGGAAGCCTTCTCCGCTCTGCCCCTGCCCTGCAAGTTCTAATTGGCCGGGGGCGGGGGAGCAGCGTGAAGCTTCCTTTGCCCTGCCCCAGCCCTGCAAGGAGCCCACGGCACTTCAAAGAGCCACATGCTCCTCGCAGGGCGGGAGGAGGCTTCCCGCGCTTCCCTGCCCCCAGACCCTGATTGGCCTAAGGGTGGGGGAGTGTGCCAAGCCTCTTCCAGGGTATGGGTGCCTAGTGGGAAGGGGGGCATAGGAGCTCGCCCACCCCCAGACTAATCATGGTCTGGGGATGGGGTCGCCCCACCCCTTCTTGTTTAGGCCATGCCCCTTCTGGGGTGACCCAGGGCTACTTAAAACATTTTTGAAGTGGCCCCTCCCAGCACAAATTATTGCCCACTCCTGTTGTAAGACAACTTAGAAACTCACTGGAGAGGAGTTCATTTGGCTTTTCCCATAGCACATTACAGCTGAGGCTGGGGACAAGGACAGCCCTTCCACCATCCTAGGAGCGTTTTAAGGAGCCCAACCCGCCTTATGCCTAGCTCGCCCCACAAGCAACCCCATTTCCCAGCAGAACGGGGAACCGAGCTGCCAGGCTCACATTTGCCTGCAGCATTAGGGTTAGTGCTCAGCATTCTCACACTTCTCTGAGCAGACCTCCCTGGTGCAGGCAGGTGCAACTTCACGGACTCCAGCAAGGCCACACCTGCTTACAGCAGGCTTGAATTTGGCCCAGAATGTGTAAATTGTTGGTTCCATTTCAGATGCCATTTCTGAAGCTCCTGCTGGCATGAGCAGCCTTCCTGGAAGGGTCACTGCCAGTGCGGGAGCACATAAAAGACTGAAAGCCAGTTTATATCCGGTTTTAGTATTGAGTTGATAGGGGTTAAAAATGGTGCTGCTTCCCCAGCTGGGGCCTGATTCCCCTCTCACTCCCACTGCTTTTACTCCCATGTAGCCCCGTTGGCTACAGCGGGGCTGCTCCGGATTGGCCCGGATGTATGTGTGAGAGGAGGAGGCTCAACGCTCTACAGCCCCATTGCCACAGCAGGGCGCAGCGGATGTAGCCAGGAGAATGCAGCTGGGCTGCAGTCACACATTGATTTGCATGTGCAGCTGTGGGTTTCTGTTGCTTCCTGGCCCTCCCTTGGCCTTGTGCTGAAACCATGGGGTTCCTTTTCTGATAAGCATGAAAGCAGGACGAATGCCATCTGTCATCACCCCGACCTCACCACATCAGGAAGAGGCCGCGCCATGCCCGCTTTAAGCAAGGAATGATTTGCATGTACTCCGTGATTTGCAACGGGACAGAGCAACAAGGGCTTTCACTTTCAGACAGGTGATGCTGAATCCATCGGGGTCCTCATCGGTACAAGGAAGTTTGGAGCTTTATAACTTAGGGCATGTTTTCAGAGCAAAGAGAAACCTGCAGCTAGCTCATGCCATTGCCAGCAATTCTAGTCCAGGGGTTAAGCAAACTGCCTGAGTTTTGGGGCCCTCTCCATAGGGTCCTAGAGTACAGGCCTGAGCCTGGAAGTATACAAAGCAATGAAACTTCCCCCCGGCTCAGACCTGAGCTGGCAGGCATGGGCCTGTCCTGGGTGTCTAGTTTGCTGTGTAGATGTAGCCTTTAACTCCACAGACACCATTTGTCAGGGTTAGACAGTTCAAGGCACAATATTAATCTGGAACCCCCAAAGCTATCTTTACAGACACACTGAGGAGATGAGATGCTGCAGGAGGGTCAGGGTTAGGGTACAAGGAAGTTTGGGGTTTCTAACAGCCACAACAATGGTTAGTGGAAGATCCTCTGTAACGGGCTTGCCCTGGAAAACCATGATCCATTTGTATTCACAAAG